TATATATATATATATATATATATATATATATATATATATATATATATATATATATATATATATACTAGCTGCATCCCGTGCTCCGCCACGGTAAATCTATTTTAAATGTACCAACTTGGGAACAGAACAAAACTAAACACAACACAAACGAACGCAAAAAAAAAAAACAAACGAAAAAACAAACACAACACTCATAACTTAAATACATCTTAAATGCAATCATAAAGGCATATTGCTCACAGTCAATCCCGTAGCGCCAAATCGCGCCCTTTCCGAGCGCCGGCGGACGCGTCTGACACAGTGAATGACTATAAAACAGAGGCGTAGCGACCATTTCCGGCGCCCGGAGACAAACTTTCGATTTGACCCCCTCAAACTTACGAATTGCACCCCCTCCCCTCAAAAGTTCAATTTCCACCCCACGCCCTTAAACTTTCGATTTGCACCCCCCTCAAACTTTCGATTTGCACCCCTTTTGATTTGAAATTCCCCCCGCTTTAACTTTTGATTTGCACCCCCCTCAAACTTTCGATTTCCATCCCCCCCCCCCCGTCGCAAATTTTTTCCAACCCACTTTGGCACCCCCTAAGGTTGGCACCCAGGGACACGTATCCCCCCCTCGCTACGCCTCTCCTATAAAACCCCCCGCTTGCCCGCAAACCCAAAGATAGAATAATAATAAATAATATACAATAAATAATAGGCAATATTTAAAATATCCGTGTTTTACCTACTATATATCACTTTATCAATTCAAGCGTTTTTTCCCCAGTACTTTAAATTTTAAAAATGTACAATAGAGTTTCATAACTAAAACCTTTGCGCACCCAATGAACGTGATGGCGCGTCTATAATATTGCGGAATAGTTGATTAAAAATTATAATTAGTAAACAGTACATTCAGTGAATAAAATAAATAAAAGATAGCCTTTTATCAATCAATACTAATTATAATATTCCAACAATAATGTACTCTTACACGTCTGCATAATTTGCATTCACATTTTGCGAATTATATATGTCAACAATTATTCCGTCTTGCAGATTTTGCATTCACATTTTTAGCGTGAGTTCAATTTATTTTTAAAATGTCTCCCTTGGCAAAAATAATAAACAGTTTAATTAGATTTTTCTAACCTACAGCTATTATGTTATTAAAATGTATCCACTTTCTCTAGGAATATTAACGAAAACGATATTTGACATTGATCCTTTTAATATGTTTTAGCAATGTGCATGTATTTAATATTCTCTTTACGTTATGCAAAATTGTACAAACAGTGGAAATTATAAAATAGCTCTATGTCGTTATATAAACAAACTCTACTCTACTTATAATGAGACATGGCGGTGCACCGAAAAGCACTACATGGTGCAATGTTTACTTTTATGGTTCCAAAAGCTATAGCGATGACGGAAGGAAGGACAGACACAGCCCGCTTATATTATACTAGCTGCATCCCGTGCTCCGCCACGGTAAATCTTTTTTAAATGTACCAACAGAACAAAACTAAACACAACACAAACGAACGCAAAAAAAAAAAAAAAAAAAAAAAAAAACGAACAAACACAACACTCATAACATAAACACAATTTAAATGCAATCATAAAGGTATATTGCTCACAGTCTAGCCCGTAGCGCCAAATCGCGCCCTTTCCGGTGATTTGCACCCCCCTCAAACTTTCGATTTGCACCCCTTCCCCCCCCCCCCCCCCCCCCCGCCGTAAAACTTTCGATTTCCACCACCACCCCCCTCGCAAATTTTTTCCAACCCACTAAGGTCGGCACCCGGGGACATATGCCCCCCCCCCTTCGCTACGCCTCTCCTATAAAACCCGAAAGATAGAATAATAATTAGAAAACAGTATAAATAATAGTCAGTATCTATAATATATACAATATTTCACTTTATCCATTCACGCAATTTATTTCCAGCACTTTAAATTTTAAAAATTTACAATAGAGTTTCATAACTAAAACCATTGCGCACCTAATGAACGTGATGACGCATCTATAATAGTGCTGAATAGTTGATTAAAAATTATAAGCAATAAAAAGTAGGGCCTACATTCAGTGAATAAAATAAATAAAAGATTGCCTTTTATCAATCCATGCTATTTATAATTTTCTAACAATAATTTCCTCTTACACATCCGAATAATTTGCATTCACATTTTGCTAATTATATTATTGCAACACTAATTCCTTCTATGACGAACGTATATTTGCATTTACATTTTTTATTAGCGTGAGTTTAATGTATTTTTAAATTACCTCCTTTGTCAAAATTAGAAAAGAGTTAAATTAATTTGATTTTTCTACCGTACTGTTATTATCTTATTAAAATGTATCCACTTTTTCTGGGAACCTAAACGAAAATGATATTTGACATTAATCTTTTTAATACGTTTTAGCAGTTTGCGTGTATTTAATATTTTCTTGACGTTATGCGAAAGAGTAAAAACCGTGGCAATTATAAAATAGCTCTATGCCGCTATATAAACAAACCCTACTCTAATACTTAGAATAAGACACTGCGGTGCACTGAAAAGCACAGCATGGTGCGAATGTTTACTTTTATGGTTCCAAAATCTATAGCGATGACGGAAGGAAGGAAGGAAGGAAGGACTGACACACTACCAGCAGCGTTATATTATAGATATATATATATATATATATATCTATAATAATAGTTTCGCTGTCTGTCTATCTATCTATCTATCTATCTATCTATCTATCTATCTATCTATCTATCTGTCTGACAAGAACGCTCTAGAGAAAAGACAAGCAATTTAAAAACATGCATAGTAATTCGAAAAACGAAGTATGACGTCGACACATTTAGCATAGAGTTGAAAATAATCTCACAGTAATATAATGACGTCATTGATTCTGGCGTAAACATTGAATAAAGAGGAAATGTTGTCTAATCTAAGTGGTTTGCGTGAAGAGTTTCTTGCATACAATTCTTCGGGTAGGGGCGAAGCCCCACCCCCCGCGTAAGAACGTCTGAGCCCCTCCCCCTCCCCAACTCAAAAGAAATTTCTTCATCGATACTCTATAATAAAATTACCGCCTAATTAATGTGTCTAATCTCAAAAGTGGTTTTCTTGCAATTTCTTTAATGCAATTCTTCGGGTAGTGGCTAAGCGCGACACCAGTGTTTCTTTCAGACTTTTTCCTCCCCGGAAAGGGGTGGGGGTAATTGAAATTTTCGGGGGCGGGGGGTAGAATTTTCGGGGAGGGGGGCGGACACTGGAAAAAGTATATAATTATATTTCGTTGAATGGGACGGTAGACATGTTTTTTTTGGGAGTGGGGGGTGGGGGGTGGGGGGGGTGGGGTGGTTTCCTCATCGATACTCTATAATAAAATTACCGCCTAATTAATGTGTCTAATCTAAAAAGTGGTTTTCTCGCAATTTCTTTAATGCAATTCTTCGCGTAGTGGCTAAGCGCGACACCAGTGTTTCTTTCAGACTTTTTCCTCCCCGGAGAGGGGTGGGGTACTTGAAATTTTCGGGGGCGGGGGTAGAATTTTCGGGGAGGGGGCGGACACTGGAAAAAGTATATAATTATATTTCGCTGAATGGGACGGTAGACATGTTTTTTGGGGGGTGGGGTGGGGGTGGGTGGGGGGTGGGGGTGGGGGTGGTGTGTGTGGGGGGGGGGGGTGGGTTGGTTTTAGTTTAGAGAAAAGAGACAGCACTATCAACCTAGCGCCCGGTGTATCCTTCCTCAACGGGCCATTTTTCTCGTATATATATATATATATATATATATATATATATATATATATATATATATATATATATATATATACATATATATATAAAGAGAGGGGGGGGGGGGTAAAGTCCTGTCCCTTTGGCCCATATCAGCTGTGTGGATAGAGAGGGGTGGGGGCTGATTCATGGGCAACAATCAGCCTCTTCTCAACTTAGGGTGCTTGGATTTCCAATGCGCACTCATCCAAGGGCCAACAGAGTTTCTTCCAGGCATCTCTTCTTCGCCCACTCCCCCCCCCCCCCTCCCCCGGAATTTTTTTACCGGCTCTTCCCCCGAACGAAATGAAATTTATATAATTTATATAGAAAATATATACTTTTAACAGTGTCCGCCCCCCCCCCCCCCAAAAAAAAAATTTCAAGTGTCCCCCCGGAGAAAAAAGTCTGGAAGAAACACTGATGGCCAATTAGACTGGAACCATGTGATATATAGTTCAGGGGAGACCCCGCGGAAGCTTAAAGTTAATCCACTATGAGGGAAACAGTAGCCTTGATTTAACTACACGAGGCCTTGCGTTGGACCTTATACACCATAGTGTTTGTAAGTAGGTCACTAGCTCCTCGTTAGTATTTTTCAAAACAAATGATTAAATTGGTATAAAAAAGAAGTTTATTCCGCTATTAAGTTACTTTTAATCGTAAACGACGATACAGAAGTTATTTTAAATGGCGTATTTACTCTAATTCCTAATAAGTTGTCTTATTAAATAATAATAATAACCTAGGCTAACCGGTACTTAATTTGATTCTATTATTTGTAAAAATATATACACATAATGTTTGCATTTTAGTTTTAGGTACTCTTGGTAATTTAAAAACTTGAAGCGAGGACAAGAAACAAATAGCACCCATGTTTTTTTTTTAAATAAATGGGAATCATGTTCTCACCATAAATTTAAATAGAATTTTTTTTTTATTTTTCCCTGGCGAACCTGATTACGAATTTTGAGAGCGAGAACGAGACTTAACAACACTATTAAAGACAACGTCCTTATTGAAACATATCACACTGCCACCTGCCAACCTCAACATTAAAGCATCCAGACACGAATCCTCAGCCTCACATATACAGAATCCATTAACCCCGTCAGAAATAAACCAAACAACCACTATCAGACAGTCGTATTGTCATTGTGTCTGTCATTTTTTTTAAATACAAAAATGTTAATTTATACTGTTGAAAGAGAGTAACATTGCGATTTATATTTTCAGAATCCAGCAATGCTAAACCGGTGATTTCTCCCTATCAACCATCGGAATTTCATTATAATACTTACCGGTACGCTGTTGTTATTATATGCAATACCGTACTATTGAAAATTGTTTTCTCATCTTTGCTGGTACGGAAACATTTGTTTAAAGTGTAGCCGCTATCTCAATTCTAAATCTCTATCTCGTTAAGTAAATTTAAAGAAAACTAACATAGATCAGCATGGATGTCAAGCTTAACAACTGCTGACATTTTAGGCCTGAGTTATGCCGAGAATAAATATTCAACTAACCATTCAGAAAACAGTGGTTAATTCAGGACATATTGCAAGTACAATATATAACAGAACATTGAATTATATAGGCCTATATCTTGTACATGAAAAACAGTAGTGCCAATTCCACTGAAGTTTTCTCTTTGGAGAACGATGCCGATCTCACAAGTAATGTTTTTAAAGTTTCAGTATCGGACCATGACTTGTCGTTCAGCACAGTTTCTACAATTATTTTATGGAATAATTCGCTGAGCAATACTTCCTATCAGCTAAGTAATCCAGCCATAGCATTTTTATTAGTAGCATTTAGTCTTGTGGTAGTTATTGGAAATCTCATGGTAATTTTCGCTGTTTATAGAGAAGTGTATCTAAGAACTGTTACCAATTATTTTATTGTATCACTAGCCATTGCCGACGTAATGGTTGGAGGAGTAGTCATGCCTTTCAGCATAAGTAATGAACTAACCAGATCTGTATGGCTGTATGGTCAAGCTTGGTGTGATATGTGGAGATCATTAGATGTTCTTGCATCTACAGCTTCCATCTTAAACTTGTGTGTTATTTCATTGGATCGTTACTGGGCGATTACAGATCCTATTGCATACCCTAGTAAAATGTCAAACGGAAAAGTATGCATTTTGATTGCTTTAGTTTGGTTTTGCTCAGCAGGAATATCTTTTCCTGCTATAGCCTGGTGGCGAGCAGTAACCCCGACAGATTTGCCAAAAAATCAATGCTTGTTTACCGAGGATAGTGCATATCTAATTATTTCATCTGTTGTTTCATTTTATGTACCTACATTTATAATGATGTTCGTGTATTGTAAAATATACAAAGCAGCTCAAGCTCAGACAGAAGGAATTAAAAGCGGATGCAAAATAACAGCTGACTGTCCGAAAGGAGACAATGGAGAAGTCATGACTTTGAGAATACACAGAGGTGGATATAGACTAGGAAACGATTTGGATCAGGCCACGAATATGTTTAACCATCGAAATAGCGACATAGACAGTGAACTTTCTCTTAGTACACACCACCAAGCATATATTAACAAAAATATGAATCAACAAGGTCGCCCTGCGACATTTATTTCAAAGAAAATAAAACATTTTGCGATAAGTAAAAAACTGACCAAGATTGCCAAGGAGCAGAAAGCGGCTAAAACGTTAGGCATTGTTGTGGGGGTTTTTGTTATATGTTGGGTACCATTCTTCTGTGCAAATGTGTTGTTTGGACTTTGCCACAGCGAGTGTATTTACAGGCCTGAAATTTTGTTTCCAGTATTTACATGGCTTGGATATATCAACTCTGGAATGAATCCGATAATATATGCGTTGTCGATGAAAGATTTTAGGCGAGCTTTTAGTAAAATGATTTTATGTTGTCCACGTTATAGACATAGTCAAAATAAAAGATACACGTATAGTCATTCAAACAGCTTATCCACCTCAAGTTTTTCTGTCAATTATAACGAAAAATGTGTTCATTTAAAAATCTAAAATGGAAGATTGGAAGAAATATATTATCTTAACGTTTTAACTTTTAGTTCATTTTCTCTGTTAGCCATAATAAACAAAAGGACTACTTTTCTTCGTTTTATATTTTTCCTTGACTTATATGTGCATGTGATATATCTATGCATTTAAATTCTGTATACAAAATATAGACCTGATTAGTACACACGACACAACCAAAGTCCGAAGTGCATGAACTTCGCAAACTGACTGGGATGCTCTGATCAATGACCCATGTTAGTGTATTTCTTACATGGGCCGAGCGACCTCGCCAACTGGCCATTGCCTAAAGCACGTTTTGGTGTCATCAGTGGCGTAGCTACCGTAAAGCTAGCGTAAGCAAGGCATAGGGGCCCAAGGCAAATAGGGGCCATTTTTTCGAAAGTTTGAGGGGGGGGGTGCAAATCGAAAATCTGAGGGGGGGGGGGGGCAAATAGAAAGTTTGTCCCCGGACGCCGGGAAGGGTCGCTACGCCTCTGAGGGTCCCACTAAAACTTTTTGCATAGGGGCCCAAAAATCCTAGCTACGCCACTGGGTGTCATGGCATTTTGATTATTCTGGCAATAGTTTCAATGCGTGTAAAAATATTTTCTCTGAAAAATTTAATAATACATTTAGTTGATTGTGGTCAGGTCTGGAAAAATGTAAGTTTAGATCTTGATTACTATTTACAATTGTTAATAAATATGAAAATCGTCCAGAACATATTTTAAAAATCTGCCGCAGTGCATCGTTAAACTGTTAACAAAAAAGACAAGTAAATTTGGCTGTACAGAAATTCCGTGATCGGTCTTCTGTCAACCCCACTTTTAAGTAATATTGTTCTCAAAACTTTGCTCATAAATTTTAAAAATAAAATTATACTTTTCACATGACATAGTTATGCGAAATTTATTTACAATGCTGTGACAAATAAACCGGGAGTGACCTCCCCTAAACTTTCTCGAATATTCTTATATGACACTACGGGGAATGGCGACTCGGGATATAAACATGATTTTTTAATCCATTTAAAAATCCATTTTTAATTACTTAAAAATAGAATAGAATCTCGTAGATAAAAGAATTGCACACCAAGTGAACGCCAAATAAAAAGTGTAGAATAGTGCGGAATATTATTAGTATTTTACTCGACTACCTGTTATATAGTTAGATAACTGTGGGTTTCGGGGGTCATCCATAAACGACATCACGTCTGTCACTTATCATCACAAAATAACCAGACCCCCCCACATTCATAAAGACGTCGCACCTCAGACATTTTTGTCTTTTAAAAACACCGATTTCGGCTGAGCATGGGTCTGACAATACAATCTCTTCATATGCTGAGGTCACAAAAACAGGTCAACTCTACTTCATCTCCCCAGTGTTCCGCCAAGTCTCAGACAACATGTTTTATCGTTTAAAAAAAAAAAAGATTCCGGCCGTTTAATGCAGAGGACGAAGAAACAGGTGAACTCTACCTCGCCTGCCCTGTATCACGCCAAGTTCAGATAGGCAACTTTAGCATTCACATAAAAAAATTGAATTTTTTTTTTTGGATCATTGACATGATGTGTCTAGAACCCGTGCTAACCGCATTGCACTAACAACTTAGCCATATAGGCTCGTGACGTCATTAACCATTTTTGTGCTATATATTAATAGTTTGAGTCTGCTCAAGAAATTTGATTTACGCGAATAGGCTCTAAATCTAGTATCTTTCAAATTAACTTTTATCGTAAATTAGCCATTTCCATAGTTAAACAAAAAAAAAAAAGATTTATATAAAATAATGAAGCTCTGAAATAGTTTAGTATCTAGATCGAGATAGAATTATCTAGAATCTACGACTGGTTTGGTTAAGTGACAAGTCTATAGTTTTTGCCGTAACTCTTTCTAGATCTAGAACAGGGGTTCCCAACCTTTTTTTACTCTAGAGCACATTCTAAATATCGGTAGGGTGGCGGGCACCACCTATTTTAAATCGACAAACTCCTTCCAGAGGCGTAGCGACCCTTCCCGTCACCCGGGGACAAAACTTTCGATTTGCACCCCCCCTCAAACTTTCGATTTGCACCGCCCCCCCCCCCCCCCTTTCCATCCCCTTCAACCATTCAATAATGTTTATGAAAAAAATTCTTCCTCTGTCGAATAGTGAGAGGCGGGCACATACGAATCGTTCGGCGGGCGCCACGGCGCCCGCGGGCACGGGGTTGGGAACCCCTGATCTAGAAGATAGATAAATCACTTGTATTCTTGAATTAGAAGATCCGTGAAGCTAAAAAGCAAAGATTTATTTCAAATATTTAAGGACTAAAATAGTTTAATAAAGAAACTCAATAATTTATTCTGATTTTAAAATGGTTTTTAGTTTTAACTAATTAATTTTGGTTTGACCTAGATTCTAGATCTATAAATAACTTTCTTCGATAGCTGATCTATAGAATCTTAGATTCTAGATCGAGAGAAATTTATTGTACGAGCCGACCCGCAGCGTATCATACGCCGCTATTTAGTTGTTTTATTTTCTACTTTTCAGTAATTCATAATTTGTGAATTCGACAGTACCAATGCTGCCACTAAAAATATTTGCTTTAAAACACTAACCCCCTCCCCTTTCCCCTAACCCCGACCCTACCCCCCCCCCCCCCCCCCCCCCCCGTGAAAGTAGCCTCCTCTTAGTTATTTCTTAGTTACCTCCTCTAAGTTTAAAATCGAACTAAATTATCTGCCCCTAATAGAAACCCGGCTCTACGGCTCTACAATTTGTAAACATTTAGTTTGTAAACATTTAGCGTGACCACAGCTCACCAGACAATGTGGGGTGGGGGTGGTAGTGATAGTGATAGAGAGAAAGAGAGGGGACTGCAAGGAGGCGCTTGCAGCTTGTTTTCTAACGTCTCCCAGAAGAGAATTATATATATAGATACTTAAATGAAAAGGACTGTTGAAAATTGCTATTAGTGTGGAACCTATTAAAAATAGCAAACGGACGTATCGTTAAAGCTATAACCGCGACAGAAAATTAGCTTTAGAACGCTTTAAACATTTGAATGAACACCAAAATCTTCGATGGAAGCCGCCATTATTGTTGTAAAAAGTAAAAAAAAAACAATGGGACGTCACTATTTACTCTAAGTAAAGTCACTGTTCTGAACTTTTATAATTAATGTGGTTAATCTATCAATGAATAAATCAATAAATTAATTAACGTCTTTAAATATATTTGTAATTAACAGTCTGTCTAAAAACAAATTGTTCTCTACCTAATTACTATTTTACAGCTCTACACATAGTGCAGATCCTCTACTATAACCAAACGGACAAACAAATAAATATTCAAACATGTAAACAAACTTGAGTTTCAGTACTATATAGATAAATTCACATGCGTTTCTTGAGAAATTGGAAATAGCCTAAATTACTACTTCTGGACAACGGAAGTAACTCACAATTTGAAAGAAGGCAGAAAATGGGATCTTTTACTTATATGTTACATTTCATTTATCTATCTGAAATAGTACACAAGTTATAGGCTTTTGAAAAATTGAAAGTAGAAAATGTTCCGTTTCCGGTTTTCGGAATTCGCTGAAATGTTGATATAAATTTGATATAATAAGTATATATGACATTTCATCAACCTAGCTGTAACGGTACTCAAATTATCGTGTTTACAGATACACATACACACATACACCACACACACAGACATACAGACACGATTGCAAAACTATGTTTTTTTTTCGACTCAGGGAGGTGTAAAACGTCAAGATTTGCAAAAATCTCGATTTTTTTGCACGATTACAATACTTTCTCTTTACTTCGTATACGAGAAAGTAAAAATGAAAACAATCAAATTTTTTACTTGTGCGCCAATTTAAGAATAATGCTTTAATTGCCAGTTCCATTAATGATTAATTTTAATTACAAATCGATAATTATCAGAAGAGGGTGGGACTGACACCATAATGTAAACGCGCTAACTATAGAGAAACCAATGCTACATTCAACAGTATTATTAACAGACTAAAGATAAACATCGTTACTCTTTAGTCTGCAGTGATTAAAGCTTATACGCATACATGTACGCGGCATATATTTTAGTTATAGGGTTATTTAGGCCGAAACACACACACACATATATATATATATATACTTTGTGACTAGGGGTGGGGGTGACACCATGAAGTGCCGCACCGGGTGACACCCGACCTAGCGAAGCCACTGCTAATAATAAGAGCAGTGCATGTTCTCAGATGGACATTACAGGGCAAGAGTAAACGAAGGCGGCCAGAAGAACCGTGGAGAAAATCAAAGAAAAGACTTAAAGGAAAGAGGCATACCATTCCAAAAGACAGAATTTATAGCAAGAGACATGACAAAACGGCACTCACTTGTTGATGCCTTGTGCGCCAATGGGCGTTAAGAACGATGATGACATGGGCACATAAAGTCAGTTGATAGATCTTCCTGCACATGTCTCCGGCGCTGCGGCTGACAGGGGAAAACTCTGGCTGCCGCATGAGCACTGTGGCGCCTACATTGGTTTAGAAGAGCACCCTACACTAGAAGCCACTACATTCGATTACTAAACAGAACAAGGGGTCGCATCCGGCGCCACTGAGATAGTGTAACCAGTGGTTCCCGAGACCGCCTCGCTAGGTAGATGCTGACAAATGGGATTATGTGAACAAACCCGCGCCCCAACGACTAAGATTCAATAAATATGGCGCCGGCTTTGTTTACATTTAAATAACTCATATTTAGAAAACAACGTCACACGTCCAAAACACAAGATTAGCTAAGTGTTGATGGAACTTTTGAATTAAGAACTTTCGCCACTCTGGTGCTTAAGGCTAGGTCGCAGCAACGCGCGACGGGTACGTTGTACATATGTGGGTATTTGTATTTTTTGTGTCTTTGTGTATAATTTTGTCTTTTAAGCACTACTAAACCATTCATCTAATCGCCATGAAACCGTTGGAAGTGTGAGTACAATATCTAGAAGGTTTCTGCCATCGGAATATCAGAGGGGTTGTACCGCGGCGCAGTTTGCAGTAAGGCACCTCGAATTTTTCCT